TATTCTCTATCTACACACGATGTAAAATAATGATGAAAAAAAGCGCTTTAACTAGCTAATTAAACACATTCATATAAAGCATCGATTACACAAATTTCACATGCATATATGGCAGCTGCAACCATTGAATGTAGAGATCTCAGGGATTATGCATAAGGTATGTCTTTTTATGGACACAAAATTTATCGAATCACGATTGCTCTAATTTACTATTCAGTTTGTAAATTGTAACTGGTAACATAGTTAAAACATAATCGAGTAAAAATGGATAGAATTTGACCATACATGCCATTCATTTAGGGATATTGGAATGACAATAACGTAACAATAATATGGCTATATTAAGTCACATATTGGTAATATTAACAATGAAGATTGTCGAATATTTATTGGAAATGTCATTAAGTAAAAGTTAGTGTTAGATTAACGGTAATGCAATGCGTTTATTAATGTTTTCATATATCTTGCAATAATGAACCAAAATGTTATAAAAACATTTCAATATATTCCAGTGTAACTATCCTCCTCTTATACCATAGTATCTTAATCCCATTCCTTTGAAGATGTGTTTTATATTACATAGACACGAGGACATATATAGTTCGGGTTTTAAATTTTATGACATAATCTTTGTTGGGTTAAATGAACACTATAAAATATATTATCGACAGCTTATAAGGTTATCTTGCTATTTAAACAAATTTTTTAACGTCAGCATGATAAAATAGTCATTAAAGTCCTTGTTGAAAATCGAAAATTTCAAAAATCTTTACTTTCTCTCAAACAAATTAAAACAAAACCCTTTCAGAAAGCATAATGATGAGTTAATATGAGTGGAAAATTGTTGTGAATTATTGTAAACTGATTAAATTTGGACATTATCACCAATGAATCCCGCCTCACTTATCTGGAGCTTAGGCGTTCACATGCAAAACTGAAGGTCCTCGTTCCGATCCCCGGAAGCAGAATAGTCGATATACACTGGTAGGATCTCTACACTTGAATAAAACGACTGTTCGGTGCTTCTTGGGCATTAATGGTCGTCTAACTTAGGTTGATTAGTGATACTGACAACGTGAAGGTATCAGTCAGATAAAAAAGTAAATGCTGTTTGTTTTAACTTATATGAAGCTCGAAATAGTTATTCATCGTATTCAAAACTGGTTGTTTTAAACTGTCCGAAATTTCTTGAAACAAATGACTGCATAATACGACAATACATGCATGAAGACGTCATATCATGAACATAAAATTGTCGTTTACATTAATTTTCACTTGGGGCTTTGGATTGGAATAATGACCGTCTGTTTAATTGGTTCTAGTTTGTTCTTTGCCCAACCTAATATGGTTTTAAGTGTTCTCTTGGCTTGATATCACATGAAATGCACTTGAAAAGCAAACTTAATATATTTTAAAGTATTTAGGGGTTTATTCATTTGCACCTGTTTTCTTACATCACTTGCTGCAATCACAGGAATGATTTATTAAGAAAACATTTTTATTAATGTTTGTTATCAGTATTGTAGCCAGGTGTTTCCACTTTATGGAAAGTCATGATAGAACAGTTTGAAATATTGATAACCGTATAACTGGTGAGATACGAAAAGGTGACCATGACGTTTAGAGTATGTTCTGAGGTATATTAAAAACATTTTAATATAAATACATAAAATGGACCAAATGATTGTTTGAAGATTATTAATTTAACATTATTGAGGTAATCTGTTTAGGTTACCATGAGAAATGGCTTAAATCAAAGAGGTTTTTTTAAATAGAATTAATAACCAAATTATTTCCAAAGGGATTTGAACTAAATTACCCATTTGAAAGGTATAGTTACCCAATAGTATACCAGTTTACTTTATGCTGGGTGTATATTAATGAGTCGCTAAGTGATTAAGTGTATCAAAGTGAATATTCAACTACTTATTTTCTTCAACAAGTTTGATGTTGTACGATGGTTGGTCTTCCTGAACTTAAAAATGTAGTCATTTGGATTCAAATCCAACCATTTTTGTGATGTCTGTCTGTTTACCAAGTAAGAACTTTCAACGTCGATGATAATTATAGGAATAAATGCTCATTACTGAAATTTATGGTGCCAGGTAAAAATTGGGATTCGGTCTATATATTATACAATCATTATTTACAAGAAAACGTTCTAGTTGGGTAATTTAGACCATTTACAGACATTGATACGAAAATTGCTAGTTGAATAAGTCACAATATTTTTAAAATAAAATATTGTCAAGTAGCAAATTCAATAAACTGTAACATGTTTGCTTAACTAACTAAATGCAGTCTTTTGAGATTATTCTGAAATGTAGACAGTAATCTAAAGTGAGACTATGTTAATTGGACTTTGTTGCGATTTTGCTAAAGCAGTGTTCTAAGTTCAACTGGGCTTGTATTAATATATCTGTTTTTACCTATAACTAATGAAATTAAAATATTAGTAATACATATGAATTTAGTAAGCTAGTGACCACAAAATGGAGTCATTCTCTAACTTAACTATAAAAAGTCCATTGTTATGAGAAACATTTATTTTTGAATGACGAGATTATTAACTCAAAGTATCAAACTATGGAGTCATTGTTAAGGTATACTGTACTGAGATTTGAGTGTGAAAATTAAGAAAACGTTGACTTTTATTCATGATAGTTCATGGGCCTGTATTCACCTTTATAGTCGCATTAATAAATATAGTCGACAACCTTAGGCAGAAATTAAGTATGACTACAGGATACGTCTTCAAAATCCATGAGCCTACATTCAATATAATGTTTCGAGAAATCTGCTATGTTGTATTGGGGACGTTCCATCTTCTGTGCATTATTTTAAACCGTTGGAAGATGAAAAAAAATATTGTTGGTCTTGATAAATAATCCCGAGAGAAACTAGACAATTGTTAAAGTCAGATTTCTAGAGTATTTCTGTGATGAGCACTCACGAATTACACTTTAATAAAAAGGGTGTGCATTCATAATCAGGGGAGGACTAATTGTTTTTGTTTTGTTTGAGCCCAGTGAAAAATTTACTTTTATTTCGCTCTCTTTTCTAAATGACTGATCCAGTAAACTAGGCAGTTTTAAAAAAATAAACATTTTTTAAAATATATAACTTAGTTGAGCCAATTGAATCTGTTTCAAGTTAAATTCCAATAAAATTTGGAACAAAACTCAAGAGTTAGGCCCTAGATTTGCTAGCATGACGTTTTTAAGAGATTTCAAGGCATTCATGATTTATTTAAGAAAGCAAAGCAAGTGATGCTTCAGGTCCCATGAAATATATATATATATATATATTTCTGTCAAGAGGAAGCATTCACCTGAAAAAGTTTTTTTATGAAATGTGTGAATTACGTTCTACCAATGGTTATAGAAAATGGACATTCATTGGCGAATAACTCGAGCTTCAAACGACAACGAATAGGTCCTTAAAACAAATGTTTCTGATCAAGTTGTAATATAAATTGCTATACATACAGAGTGGGGTTGAAATTTTGTGGCCTTACAACGAGTAAAAAAATAAACTAATTCACATGTGTACCTATAAAGCAACCTTTCACGGTTCGAGTCTATTATTTGAAACATAAGGGTTCATGATTAAGTGTTAAAGTACATTAACTATATTCTTATGCTTTATCTCTTACATTTGATTTTATCTAATCTTACGCTTATCAAGAAATTTTTATAATTAAAAGGATGCAGCAAACATTTTCAGTGGTTTTAAGATATAGCTTACCTCTTTATTATTTCATTATTTACTAGTCTCTGTTGTGTAAAGATACGTCAAAGTTAATTTCAAAGTGAATTTAGAAACATATATGTCGTTAAAAATTGTCCTCGTGGTTTTTCGACATGTTTCATATGTATAAAAAGATTCGAATCTCAATGTCATGTAAACTCAGGGGATGTTTTGACATTACCTGACATTTAAACTGCATTGACTTTCGATTATGTTACAAAGAGAGACTTGGATAATGCAAAACGTTAGTTTAACTCGAATTATTGGTTTAATTAACAAGAATGTAAGAAATAGTATGGTTCGTTTAAAGATTCGATTAAAAAACAGCTATTCAAATGTGATGAAGCTCATAACAGAATATTTGCCGTTGATGTTTTTATGTTTGTCTTAAGTTTGCTTAATTTGCAACTGTAATCAAATCACTTTGAATGAACATATGTGTAGGCATTATTTAAGAATTGTTGTTACTTTCACCGCAATTAGTTCTGAAAGTTTAGCCGAGAAACGTTGAGCTGACATACATGTAGGAGATATCTGCTAAAATATGAACCTAAAATGAAGTTGAGAATAGAATTTTCACTTTAAACTCTATAACAGCTTACAGTTAAATCAAATGAATTAAGTCTTTTATGAGTATTTAAAAAGGAATGATGATGTTTAATCTGTTTTACTCTTGTTTCGTAATTTGATGAAGCTATTCACTACAGAGTGGATTAATTTAAACTATAATTAGTGATGTTATCGGAGCTTTCTGGAATTACGTGAAACAACTGGAATCTGTGCTAAGTACTTTTGATACTAACGGATTAGTATATAAGATTTTATATAAGCATGAACTTTATTTTGACAACTGCATTATCTTTGTTAGGCTTTATAATAAATATTGAGTAAAATAGTAAAATTTATGTTCTAATGAATCAAAATGTTTAGAAGTACGCATACGTGATAAGAATGAAATTTTTCGTGATTTTCAGCTGATGGTAAACTATTTTCTTTTAGCTTAGATAAGAGAATATGTATTGGGACTATTTATACCAAGAAAGAAAACAGAATCCTACCTTAATTGTTCATGAAGTCTCCTACTGTTGATTGCGATTGTCGTTCTTTTACCAAAGAATATTTATTGGATTATTTGTTTAAGAACTGTTAGCTTTCTATCTATTCATTAATTTACGTATGTAAACAATAAATATTTCAGTATGTTAGGTATGTATTCCCGAGAACACTCTTTATCATCTCTGTTTTTACAGATTGCTGACTTTGGCTTTGTTAAACACGTGAAATATCGAACATACACACTGTGTGGTACTCCTGAATATTTAGCTCCAGAAATTATTCAAAGTAAAGTAAGTTATAGTGTTTCAAATATTTGATTTTGTAAAATGACCAACTAAATTTGATATAAAATATCATCATAGAACATTTATGGTAATTAATTATAAAAGCCATTGCTCATTTAAATCTCATTTATCAAAAACGTAATAACTACTACACTTTTCCAACAATCTCTTATTGGAATATTTAATGAGCGAATATCACTTCTTGTAGAAAATAAGATTCTTCACACCATACATGAAATTACTTATCCGTTTATTCTCGTAATATTTCGAATAACTCTGGATAGACAAATCATGTTTGTGTTGTATTAACACCAGAGATCTGGAAACATCTCAATCTTACTCAATATTTTCAACCGACACTTATCAATTTTATAATCATAACTCATTTTAAAGTAAATGTTTATTTATTTACAATCATACGAGAGTATCAGTTCAGTTCCTTAGTATTTTCTACATCACATTATCATTTATTTTCTATTAGGAAGCAATCAGAAGCCATTGATAAATTAAAATAGCTTCTTACTTTGATCAATATACAAATACATATTTTCTTATTAAAAGCCGTTTCGATTAGGTAGTGAATGATTGTCTATTTTCACTTAAGGATTATACTATTATAAATCATTGAAAATTGATAAACTAGAAGTCATTTAATTCCGTAAAGTTAAAAGGGGAATTGAGATCACTGAATTACTCTAGTTTCCGTAGTTCTTTGACATTTATCTCATTCACATAGTTTATAACTCCAGGGAATCAAATAAAAAGTTGGAAAGCAGACTACTAACAACGGTGGTATGAAATTTCGTTTTTCTCTAAGGAATTATACATAGTTATTGGACTCACTTTGATATTTTATATAACTGCATTCCAAGTAAATTGGTAAGGAGATATATCCACCTGATTTTGAAAGGTTTGACTTATTATACTTGTCAAAAAATTTACGATTAAAAGAAACTTTCATTGGTAAATGTCATACAAATAAATAATATGAAGTGTTTTTTTCATTAAGGCATTTAATCTTCCGTTTTTATTTCGGAGAAATGATACTTTTCAATAAATATAAATCAGTATTAGAAGGGGTTTTGTGGATATTATAGTGATTTTAATAGTTGAAATTATGAGCCAATTGAAGTTAGACCATTGTGAAAAAACCTAAACAGCACCGGACGGCCGTTTTGTCCTATTGTGGGACTCCTCAGCAGTGAGTATCTACAATCCCGTTCCTCGCGAGATTCGAACCCAGGACCTATCGGTCTCAAGAACGAACGCCTAACCTCTAGACCACTGAACCGTCATCCAATATGAATCACTCGTAAAATATCAAATTTAAGTTTAGAAAGTTAACTGTGTCAGTAATATTTCAGTTCTTAATCATTTTATGGTAATTAATATTGATTATAGTAATGGTTTATTTAAATATGATATGTTTATTGTAAATAACGTTTATTGAAAATATTTAGGTAAATAATCTCGTAAATACTCTGTCATAAATCCCTGTTAAAGTTTTCAATGGAAAGATTCAGAACATTCATTTGTAGTGAATTATTTAACTTGCCTTTCGGACTTTCAAGACATTTCTTTTACATTGATATTAATGAAATGAAGAAGGTATTTTTTGTAGTAGGTGACAGTGCACTCATTGTATCATATGGATGTTTGTATTATGTTATTAGTTAATAATATTGATAGATACATCAGTATTTACTAAGTACTCGACATCTGCTTATTATTCAAGTAGACAGTTGTGTTTTCATTTGAACTATTTTGGGTAGCTGAAAGCATGTAATTGAGCAACTGATAGTTAAACATTACAGTTTGTCTATAATACTTAGATCGCAGTTAAGATATATAGAACTTATTAATTTTTCCTCAATACTACCACTAGATTTTAAAGTTGCTAAGCATTTGCTAGAGGTTGTTGTAGACATTGATGTGGATATAAGTCATCAAAAGAAAACGATATACAAATTTTGCGTCTTGTGTATCCCGTTTTCAATAGATGAACAGATGATCACTTATAAAGCTTCAGCTCAAGAATGAAATTTTTACTACCACGATTGATAAGACAATGACACAGTCCCACCGTGATATTATCGTCCTTTTCTACCTGAAGTTTGTGCTGATGATGTCGTTCAGAAGAACGCTGAAAGCTCCATGACCAAACCATCCAGCTTAGAGAACAAAACTCCATCAAAATCATCCACCTGAGCTAAAAATCTCCACCGTTCACTTTTATGTGCGCAGGTGTAGTACAAATACATACCCTTTAATTATATAGTACTTTCAGAGGTGTATAAAACAGAAGTACCTGTACAAATTTGTCATTTATCGATACAACAGTGACAACACTCGAACCGAGCAAACGAAATGCGATGTATGTTTCAAGTAACTGAGTCAAGTTTATTACCTAAATAACTACTCATCTACCGTAAGAAGTACAGATTAAAGAGACAACAGATGATGATATTTTATTACTTTAAATACAGACATATACGAAGAATAAATCTAGGTGAGTTATATACTTGTGCATAAACATATAAATCTGTATCCTATTGGAGACTGAAGTAATGGTAAAATAATGGTGCCCATAACCTTACAGTTATGTCTCATTGCTTAGCATGATCTATCAAAGTTTTATACTTTTTTCCATTAGTCAAGCCAATATTTTAAACAGAAGAATAGTTCACTCTGAGACTATGATCTCAAAAATCATTCAAAAGTATAAAGTCATTGTTAAATAGATTGCATATAGGTTGTGGACATTTCGATATAAGTAAGAATACTACTCCCAACTTAACAGTTTAGTTATGATTGTTTCAGTCAATATATTTAAATAAGTTATTTTTACGCGCTTGACGCTATTTAATATATCACTATCAATTTCTCACCATCCCACATCCATCAAATGAACGAAAAATATTCACCTTGAAATAATAAGGTAGTCTTTCCAGATGCGTGATAAGATTTAAAAAGTGTCTAAAACATCTGCAGATGTATGAAACAACAGGAATGTTTTAATGAATGAAAGAATATTTGAAGCTAAGTCGTTAATAGTAATCTGTATCCAGGTGCCTGAAGTTTTTTAAAGTTTTTTAAATTAAGTAATCAAGATATTTAGAAGAACAATTAATCGAATAACAGCATAACAGTAATGTAGTGAAATGTTTTTGTAGGTCAACTTAGGTGTTAAAACTCGAAGAAAGAAGTGTTTTATGTGCACAAATGTTTTTCAAATGCTTCCTTTAGAGCACTAGAAATGCAAAATGGAGATCCGAGATCTAAGAGGAAGAAATGAGTTACTAAAATACTAGTTAACTAGTCTCAGTGACATAGCTGGTAAAAAATTTTATTTTAAAGGATTTTCAGATTTTCCGACTTAAATTAAACAGTCATTAAAAGAGACTTTACGTAATCATGCAAATTACGTTTTTTAAACTGTTTTACTTTTGACTAAAACAAATAAAAGACGCTTGTTTCAACTTCCTTCTAGAGTTGATAAAAAGATTTATTTGGTAAACTGTGTGATATTTTACATTTTTAATTCATAGCGAATTCAGTAAAAACACTTAGAGAATACATGTAACTTTTCAGTACTCACTCCATTTCCGAAATGAAATTACTTAAAATAATCTACTGTGGAGATATGTTGTTTCCGGTTTTTCGTGAATGTCTGATAATAATGAATGAACATTTAACATCTTCCAGCTACAAGCCTTAATTCATTTTCAATTAAAAAAAAAACATGATTACAACAAATTAATTTGTCTAATTACAATGATCGAATTAAAATCATTAGACTCATTGTGGACTTGTAAAACCTTCGACTACAAAAAGGATATTACATTAATGGTAGATACGATTAAAGAAATATGACACCTGGATAACAAACAGAAAAATAATTTAAAATGATTCTTAACACAATATATATTGATCTTAACTGCTTTGTTTGTCAGTAGTTCACGGAAATTATCAATACAGAGAAAACGTCCAAAAAATGCAGTATTAGAATGTTCAACAACAAAAATTTCATACCAATATTTAAGCAAGTGGTTCACAGGTTTTGGTAGTTTTGGGTTCACTGAGCTACATAGCCTGATTAAGAAGCTTTCGCTGTTATTTTGGACAAAAGTATCAGTGATTATCCGCAAACCGAATGTGAATAAACGTCAGTCAGTTAGTTGAATGAGGACTGGAACTGACATTTACCGTAGGTATTTTTATTTAAACAAATAAAACGGTTGGTTTATTCGGTTTTTCAATTAGTTAACATGTTTAAACTAAATTTACCATCCGTTAGCATCTATTTATTTCCAAATTTAAACAATGGGAAGACAAAACAAAAAATGAAGTTAAATGGTTTCTGTTTTCATGCACAAAGTAAAATAGAAATATAATTTAATTGTCATCTTGTAAATTTCATATGTATTTATAAGGAAAAAAACTAAAAAAACATAGGTGACAGAACCTAAGATTTGTAGACATGGGCTATAACTAAAAGTCTAGCAAATATATCTTCAGAATACTGAAAATACAAAGTGAGACTGATGAACACGGTGATTACTTTTGGTACAATGGTAATGACAATTCAAATAATAATTTCCTTTAATAGTATTTTCTATCATAGGTATCATCCCTTCCTTGATCTATATACTATTTTCTACACAACTTTTCTTAGCTTTCTGCACTGCTAAATAATAATTATTCAGGTCATCAATTTCCAATGGGAACTATTAGAATGTATTTTTTAACCTATCAATAACTGTGTTCTGAACAGACTGATTTCCTTGCTGCTTACTTACGCCTGTTAATCCCAATAGAGCATAAGACTCCCACCAGCATTCTCCGACTCACTCTGTCTTCGACCTTCGTTTTTAGTTCTGTCCAATTGTAGCTCATTCTTCGCATGTCTGTTTCCATTTCTTGACGTATTGTGCTCTTTGGTCTTCCTCTTCTCCTTCGGCCTTGAGGATTCCAGGTGAGGGCTTGTCACGTGACGTAGTCGAGTGCTTTCCTCAATATGTGTCCTATCCACTTCCAGCACTTCTTCCTGATTTCTTGCTCCGCTGGGATCTGGTTTGTTCTCTCCCACAGTAGGTTGTTGCTAAAAATGTCTGGCCAAAAATCTTACGTATTTTTCGTTTAGATTTTGTTACTAACTGGTATATTTTTCATCTTTCTACTGTATTTAATCGTGTATATTCAATACTTAAAAATTAAGCTACTTACGAACTTCTCAAAAGCAGACACCATCGTCGTTACAACATTTAAATTATATTCTTTCATGTTTCATCGGTAGATTTGCATAGACTATTCGTTTCTCATGTTACATTGCGTTAAGTATAAGATAAAAATGTACCTGTGTACTTAGTTCTACAAAGCCGGATGTTAAAAGTACTTTTTTAGTTAAATAGTCCCAGAAATAATTTATTTACAATCACATACCATTCTCACACTGGTTATGTATTGGAATATTTGTAAATACATTCTAAACCTTTCTACATTCTCATTTACTTCCTGATAACAGTAATGAGAAAAAAGATTGGTTGCTTCTCTGACTCTCTTTTGTAAAAGATAATACATTTTCAACCAGCTGATTTCTGTCATAATTCAAAGTTAATGTAGTATTTTGGTTTGCTCTAATGTATGTCATATTTACTTGCTTTTTTATTTATATTAGGTCTTGACAACCTACTAATGGTTTCCGTACAGTGTTACAATTTATTAGCTTTCACCGCGTCATTTGTCAGATAACGCTTAGTAATTAATAAGAGTATTTTTGTGTCAATATTTTTCTAGACATGTGTGTGAAGTGCAAGTACGGGAATCTGATGAAACGACTAAATTAAGTTGTCTAATAACGATAACTTTGACTTTAATCAATATATCCAACAGTAGACGTAATCGTAGTTTTATACTTCTTACCTGGACAAGAATATTCTCTAACCTTTTTTTAATCCTGTAGCAGACAGAGATAAATTCTAAGTATACAAAGCAGGCCCTTGGAAATACAGAAATATAATTTGTTCATGTAAATTTCCAAGTGTACTGACAATAAACATGTACACGTCAAATTTTTTTTATGTGCTTTAAATTTGCCGTGAAATCTAATTATCTGATCATTTTTTTCTGCAACATATTCTGTGAATTGTTTTCAAGAAATTCAATTATGTTTACCTACACAATAAACAAAGATTTCTAATAGCCATTGTTGCTAGTGTTTTAGAGTAGTTTTTTTCTAATATTGTTATGTGCAAATTTTAGTCTTAGCAAAAAAACAAAATAATTTTATACTTCGATAAAGACTTCACAGAGTTAGCTTCATAAACAAAAAAATGAAAGTATATTTATAAGAAGGAAAGCAAATTTTATGTACCAATTATGATTGAAAACAAGAACTAATGATTAAAGTGTGGACTAGTTAAAAGAAATATTTTGTTAAAAGTTGTATTGTATTAAGAAGGAAAAATATAGTACATAGTTACACATTTTATGTGTGATGTGATTTTGTCTTCATCATCGACAAGATTGATTTTCCAGGTTTAAAATTGTTGCTAATACCAAGCTTCTAATTTCAAATATTATATCCGAGATTATATTGAGAGTTAGCATATACGTGAACATAGATGATTCATTATTTAAAAAAATTAGTTACCAGCATATTATTTTGAAAATTTGCATATCATACGTAGCTTATCTCTCGTTCCAGTGAAACAACTGTTGTTGTCTTGAGGCGATGAACAAGAGGTGTATATATCGAAATATACTTCTGTATTCATCAACTATGTTGAATAAATCAACTCAAAATCAAATGTTTAAAACAGCTTACGTTTACTTAACAAGGAGAATCAATGTTTGTTAATGAATACTTATCATATTACTGTTTACAGTGTGCAGTGCCAGCTAACATTAAATTAGTGTTTTTGCATTTCATTTTTGAATATAAATCGCACATCTAGATAGAACGGAGTGATTTTATCAAATTTTGTATCATCGCAATTTTATTGGCTTTTACAAATTATTGAATATAACTCTCGAAGCAGATGTACCAATAATGTATATGATATTGTCATACCTTCTAGGTTTCTGACTTTTTTTGAACTATTGAGTTTTCTCTAAAAGTCTTTTGGAATCTTACAGCTGGTGCTAAGGATTCTATTCACTTGACTTCTTTTTCATATGCTTATCCTGAGCGAAATTACTTGATATCGCAATTAAGTTATATTCAGTTTGCTCAGCTTTAGATAGTGACTACCAATGCAATCCACAACGAGTGTTTCATTCTGTTCGAGACTAGTTGCTTTTACAAACATGTTGATAGACAAATCAGGTCTTGTACACGGTCTGTCGTTTTCGAAATTGAACCCGTTATTTGCTTGGGATGCACATATCCTTAAAAAGGCTGATAAAATGCAGGTCTTAATAGGAACTTCAGGACTTAAAACAACCTTTAAGTGATAAATCAAAATCAAAGTCTAAAGATTTCAACCTATTAAAGTAATGATTATGGGACCTAGACTCTCTTTTTAACATGACTCGATAACACGAGAAATTTTACGGTTTTTCTTTCTACGAGGGAAAATAATTCACTAGTGAATGATGTGCTGCTAGCTTAAATTCAACCATGAATGTCGGTTAAAATAACGAAATCAAAGCTAATCACCAACAAAAGCACCACAAGTGCAAAAAAAATAACAAACTAGCTTTGACACAATTTTAATTTCATTTACATCAGATGACGTTCTTGATGAGTAAAATTTATAAAAAAAGTTTATTGTTGGTTTTATATTCATTTACTGTTCATGTTTTTGTTTCTGATCACTTTCATTTTCTTCATAGTTAGAAACATGAAAAGAATTCTTTCTATTAATTAGCGTCGTTTATTTTGCTTTCGGTAAACTAAGAGTCATAAATGGTTAATAATATTTTTTGAATAGATATTTCGGAGATTTACAAAATATCATGAATCTGTTGACTAGTAAACAGCAAATTATCTACAGAACTGTTTACTTTCTAATGATTTATTTATTCCTATAACTATATCCAATGAGAGATTTTTTAAAAACTAGTCTCAACTACGATAATAAAAACGCCTAAAATTAAAGGACATTAGTAGTGTATGGGCTTACGCATTACGAAATCAAGACAAACACTAGTTTTCGGACATATGATTTGAAGCTAATTGATAATGTAACTTCGTTCATTTTGCCACATTGTAATAATAATTAGTAGTGTTTCAACTAAACATATTGAAAACAAGATTCTGAAATGTTATCATTGATGACTATATTAATGGTAATGATAATATCAGTTAATGTGGCGAAGAAATCAGACATCCCTTAATAGCACAGTTAAAACTAGAAAAAAACAAAAAAGTGGAAACTTAAGCAGAGCTTATAACAATGGAAATGATAAAATTAGAGAACTTAAAGATAATAAATATTGCAATTGGACTAATCAAATTATTATAAACATGTACTCACCGTTACAAGTTAGTCTGATGAATAAGTTTGTTACATTGATTTTCATCATAGGTTGATTGAACGTGATCAGCTATTAGAAATCAGAGGATATTCATTCGGTATTTCAACCCAATACAAGAAAGCATGAGGGTATCAGATATATAGGCAAGGGAATACAAATCTGTTTGCAACGCAAACACGAATATTCGATAACCGACTCAGGAGTAGAAATTCGACAATGTTGAGTGTTAACTAATTCGAGAAATTTAAATGGAAAAATGGCAAAGATCACATACTATTTTCACTGGATTCACCGAATAGCACTAAATCTATCAAGTTAAGTGATCGATAAGAACCCTTATTTTAATTAGTTTTAAACTGATACATGATAGATTACCTACATTATACATTAGGTAATAAAACGGTGAAGGACAGATTAGTGCTAAAGGGATTCATACTTCCTAACTCTGATGAGATTTCTTTATGAAATATTTAACTTACTTTTCAGACTACTCTTAACTGATCAGCATAGTGTTGGCGTATAAAATAATTACAACTTCGTTTTAATTCTTAAAAAATATCACTCTTGTGGTATAGAATATTTCAAGTGGACACAGTCTACTGGATTAAGTATTGTGGCTCAATTAACTATTATTCTAATTTTCCCAAATGTACATTTATCACATCACAAAAGCATTGTAAATATAAATAAAGTTTCATTTTGGTGGGTCTTTTTATGTGAGCAGTTTGTCGAATGCAGTTAATATATAAATCTGTTTAACTTGCCCGGTGAATCAAAGTCATCTGTTCTGATGCTACAGATGTTGCCATCATATGGTCTATCTACTTGTCATATTTACAATTTCAGTTTATTCATTTTATTTATCGCTTAAAAATAATGACAAGTATAGTAATTCTAAACATTTTATTGGATTAAACGAATTATGAATTTCTCATAAACTAAGAAGATATATTCCAATACACGATACACTTTATAATCAAATGCTTTAGAAACGTGGTATATATATATATATATATATAATATCGTCTGTTTATTTAATAATTAACTCTTATTTTTTACGTTTCATTATCCAAGACATTTCATTAAAATGAACTGATGACATTTATGTGTTCATAATACCATGCTTAAATGTTAGTAAAAAAGTTGAAGATCCTAAGAAATTCAGATTTTGTTTTATCAGCAATACACTTGTTATAGCTATTAAGTTCAAAATGTTTTTTTTCAATTAATTTTAATGCATTGAGAAATAAGTATGGTTTTATTCATATTATTATTTATAGGGTTATACAAAAGCTGTCGACTGGTGGGCAACTGGTGTATTAATTTATGAAATGGTCGCTGGTCATCCACCGTTTTTTGCAGATGAACCAATAGAAATTTATGAACGTATAGTTATCGGGAAAGTAAGTTAAAGAACGAATTTATTTATTCATTTTTTAAAACATCTGTTGTACTCATTTTTTAAAACTTTATAGCTATGAATAGTTCACAGAACAACTTTTTAGGCAATGTTTACCTATTGAAATAGAAGTAGTGCTGCAATAATAATATTTTTTTCTGAAAATAATGTTTCAAAGAGCACTGTCTTAAAAAAGGTCATCCATCAAAAGTTCATAAAAGTTATTAATTTTAATCTTCGAAGATTTTAAAAGAGATAAACCTTAAATAATTTATCATTTTAAGTTGTTTGGACATCACTCAGTAAGCATTCCTACTGGAGAATTAAACCTTATAGTTATGAACTGGAACATAATTGTTAATCAGATTTTTAAGGAAATTGGGTTACTTTTATCTTATTAAACTACTTAGTAGGTGTTTCATACTATTATGACTGATACAAGCAAAATAGTTCTGATAAATGTTGCTTTAACGAAATTAATTATGTTTATTTACCAAACTTTTAATTGCCAATGTATTAAATTTATAAAATAAACATATCCATTAACTTAGTAATGAAATCTACGTTTATAAAACTGTAACATTAAACTTTCAGCCATTATGTCTTCACAATAAATGAAGCTTTATATGTTCACATTATTAGTGAATAACAGATTACATCCTCAATAAATTGAGTCGATTAATTAGGTTCTGGAAACATCATTTCAATTCAAGATAACTAGACAGAGAGAAATAAATTACTAATATAAATTTTCAAATGAACCAACTGTTCTGTAAAATGAAATTTTTATTAGGCGACATAAAGGTTTTGGAACTTTTACTCAATACAGTTTATTTCATCCTAATAATTTTAAGTTTTTTTAAACTAAGATGTATACAATAAAAAATAAAAACAGAACTTCTGCGGTGAAACTAAGGCATCGTGATTATTTCAGCTTATATAATATTATTGTTATGAATTAATAATTTAATTAGTATTTTAATTTTTTCCTCTGAAAAAAACTTACCACATGTAACGTTTGTGATATACTGAAGTAGGTATGCTTTTGGAACTAAACTTAAGGGATTCTACTCCAAACATAAACCTTATTTAATGGCATATATTCACATACGTTTCATTTGCCGTACATCATACTATAATTGTATTACAGTAACTTAACTTTAGCAATAATAAAAAATTTTTGGTACGAATTATCTTTAACCATTTGTTTGCAGAATAAAACAACTACTACTGAGTATGCTCAGCAATGATACATCACTATCTCTCATACTTAAATGATGACCTAGATGCAACTATACATATATTAACATGTAAATGTAATGTATTGAACGTCGTCAAGGCACTTGGATCTTTATTATTCCTAAATATGGATTTAAATAGTAACATTTATGTTATGAGTATTTTACAAAATCATGTCCCATGAAATTGCGGATTTCACCATTTAGATGAGAGATACAGGTTATATAGAAGGAAACATGTTGAAACAAACGAGAAATATTTTTGGTTAAGAATTGGATATGGAGAGTTGTGTAGTGTTTCAGATTAGAATTAAAGCATAAAATGAGTGTCTGCAGCATTATCACTAAATTATTCGAAGAGGAAATCAAATAACTATCATTTATAAGTTTCATTAATGTATGCCCATATCAACAGTTTCCGGGTACACATAACGAACAATTTCGTCGGATTTCACTAGTGTTTCCAGATTACAGTCCACTTTATCCGTTAGACTTGTGCCTGTCTTCTTATTTTACTATTTCATTAACTGTTAGCTTATAGCAAAGTTTTATTTATCACCTAGGAATGTTATTACTGTAAATTCTGATAAAATATATAAACTGTACGGTGGTTCTTCGGAAACCTTCGATCAATCTGGTTACAAGAGTTTGGGGAAAATGTTTATTCACTATAGAGTTTGTACGCATCTATGTATCTTCGTCAAAGTCACGTAAAGATCAGTAATAGAAACCCGTAACGACCACCATTATTAGCTGGAAAACTCAAGAGAAATTTAACAGAAAATCTGAGGTTAACATTTTGAAGGCATTTTTTCTTTATTGTTGACCACATGATACGTCAATAGGATATTATTGAACTTACTGGAGAGACACTGCAGAAGTAAATATGTTATACTTCTTGACATATAGCCCCCTTCTCAAATAAAAAATTGTCCAAGTTTTTCTGTTGAAGTGAGATATATTCGCCAAAGCTTTTATGGGCGTAAATTTTTATTTAATTGTTCTTATGTAATTATCAGCAGATGCAAAACAAATGACAGTTCAACGCAGGAAATCTTCTAGACGATGTTCTTTACTGAAGCTCTACAACCGTATTTATAGTTGTTTCGTACAAAGTAAGCTATAATAAAATGAAAGGATGTTGAGTCATTGACAATGTTATCAAAACACTTGATGACGAAGTGAATAAAATAATACAGACATTTATGGACAATGGATTCGCTTTCAAGTTTACTGACAGTCTTCAAGCAAAAAGTCGAATGGAAATAACTCCTACTATTATTTGGGAGAAATCATATACTAACATTGTTTACGAAGGGAATACGGCAGCCGAAACCTTGAAAATACGATAATCAAGTCCTCTGATAAGAATATTTTTATATGACCTATGAATAATATTTTTTGGTAGGTAACTGGTTTGAAGATGTGTCAAGGATAAACCCCTGCGTCGAGCCACCTCAATGAGAATCTGCTGGTTTATTTACTCTCGCGGATCATATTATGTTTGTCGTGCACCTTTTGTAGCCTTATACCTGAGCATTACTTTTACGGCTCTCTAAAGGTAATTACATAGCACTCATCATTTCTATTATTGTATGTTTAATCAATTCTGATTATCTGCCTCCACATGAATTGTCATCTACAACTAGCCAGCGTCAAAGTAACTGGATTTAAAAGAAGTTGAATGAGAAATGTATCTGCAGTAGATTTTTTGATAATTCATCAAATTAGGCCTATTCTACCAAGCTTATAACCCTCTCTTCTAATTTTGTAAGTTGTTTTTAACAAACAGTTGTTTCTTCCTTATACTCAGCATGTGTACAACTATCTCCTGACTCTCCATATGTTTTTTCACTTTACTATCTTTAACGGTCCCTTGGCTTTCATATAAATTTTATTTATATCATAACTCAACGCATTTCTATATATTATAGACTGTTGTTTGTGAAATATCTATGTATTCGATTGTAAATATTTCGCAAATATTATCATCTAAAAGAAAACCTCATACACAAAACTATTCTTTTCTTGCCTAAGATACAAAAATTGGACAGATCACAGGAGACCCACATAGTATCTCATTAAGAAGGCGAAAACGATAAGTTGGGCTTAATCTTTAAATAAAGTAACTCGCATATGCATATACTGAATGAATTCCAAAACCCTACTTATGCTAATAGTATACAAAATTAACAGGGATTAGGATTGGGTATGAACTAAACTGTCTATCAAATGATATATGAAATAACTAATAAGTCCAAAAATTTAAAATATGTATTTTAATAGCCCAAATGTTCATGTTTACTTTAGTAGATTACTGTAAATCAATGAAATGAAGAGAGAGTAAACTATGTATAGTCCATTTATTAATCTTTAGCCATCTTTATTCCAGAAGCACATAATAGAAAGATAAAAGTTTAAATTCTTGATAAAATATCATTTCCATGTCTAAAATGAGGTTGAAAATAAAATACACTAAAGCATCCAGTAATCATTTCTCTTAAAAGCCTAACAACAGTTAATTGAAATATTAAATTATTATAAATTAAAGTTAACTAGATTGTGTTTGATTTTCACTAAACTTTCCCCATTTCTAATAGTTGAATTCATGAGACCACCATGAAAAACCTAGTGTAGCTTTAATCGACCCATGAATTTGACTATTGAATTACTGTAATCTCCACAAACCCCCTTTTCCCTTTTTGTTTTTTGCTAATAATTTGAGAAACCATAAACAGTATTCAAATGTTTACTGACTGTCTTTGAGTGTTGAACATTGATTAAAAACAAGCTTGTAAAAAATCAATGAAAGACGAAGATTATCTGTTTTTTCACAGATGAATAAATTACTTCACATTTTATAGATCTTAGAACCAACTACAAATAATGACAGTCACATGGTTAGTACTAGACTTCAACAAAAAACTAAAACGTCTAATCGTGAGATATTTCTGACAAAATAACTGAGGATCAATATCATAAGCAATTGTTTAAAATGCTGATTAATGTGGTTCATCCAGTTCATGGAATAAATTATGTCGGTAGTTTTGTTAATTTCCATGTAAATTATGGAAGTATCGCTTCCTAAAATTGGTTCTATCAGGTTTTGTACCATTACATCTATTTATGGAAAACAAACTATTTTATGTGTCAATGAATGTAACTAATATGACTTTAAGTAAATTATTTCATGCTCATAAGCTATTCTTGGGCTGAGTTTAAAACAAACTAATGACACTTTATTTAAATTCGTTGTAGTTAAAAGTTTTTCATATTACATCAAGTAATTACAGCTTTTCTTTACTCAATAACTTATGCTATAACTCGATTTTCTAGTATTTGTCTCAAACCTCTCAAGCTACAATCAGAGTACTTAATCAATTTCCTGTTTGTATTCACAACTCCAAACCTTCTTTTGCAAAGGAAGTATCTGCTAACTACATTTCGTCAATAACTAAAGCCCTAAATTGTTGACAAAGACTGAATATCACAAAATTTAAATTCATCGCTTCTGACCCATTTGCTTACAGCTATCTAACAGTTAGGTGTAAAATCCTTTGATTAATATGTAAATTAGGCGTAGATTTATGTAAATTTATCAGATATACTGGGTTTTATGTGAAAGTGTCTTTAGAGTTATTTTTCATAGGCTTTTATTACAAAACAGCCTCATAGCTACATAACAGGAATTGTATGTCTCCTACCAAAATGGACTATACTGTGATGTTCACTATTTTATTTGATATATTTTGCGCGGTTTTACCGGGTAATCAAATAGAGCAACGAAATCAGCATAATAAATGAAACTTTAATGGTCATTTGGTTTCGTTTATTTTTGACTTTTACTACATAATTGAAGGCTTAGATTTCTTGGATTTTTGCGTGATTAAATAATAAACTTATACGATTATTCTAAATAAGTCACTAAATTCATGTTTTATATCCTCATAACTGAAATACAATTGATTACGAAGACGTTTATTACATACATTTGTTTGTTTCTCCAACAACATATTAACTATTTGACAGACAAAATATTTACCAGTCAAGCGTACAACACATATCGATGGGTTTTTCATGAACGAAGAAAATGAAAGTGGTTCCTTGCCTAATACATGTAAGTGGAATAGGTTAAAAATACGTAAACTGCAACTAACCACAAAATGTATACGGCCAGAATATCTAAAGTTATTCATTATTTGGTTTCCACTTCTAACTTAACATAGATAACTTTAGCATTATTTGAACTAACATTTCAATTGTCAAGTAACCGTGTATCAAAGTGTATCTACTAACAAGTGGAAATTTAGTGCTTTCAATAGATAAATTATTTACTTGTCAGAAAATCACTAAAGGAAAATAGAAAAACCATGAAGAAATATTAAGCAAACATTATTACTTCAGTTGTTGACCTACTTTTTTATTTGATTATTATGCAACATATATGTAATAAAGCATCCCTTAGTACAAAAGTTTGATTCCTGTTATATCTGACAACGATTTTCTTCATTACTTCCCTTAAACCTATGTGAATAAAATGTGATGCTCAGTAAATCCATTCATGAATTATTCTCAAATTCATAAATTCACTCACACAGGAAAAGTTCATTTAGGAGATTTAATGTTATGTGTTTTAATTAGTTTTTAACGAAATTAAAAAATAGTTTGATTGTTTTAATTTACTAATGCAACAGATAGCACTACGATGCCTCATTTCTATGAAAGATATATAATTAAATTAATAAACCAGTTAAAATGTCGTATGATTTAGCCAAGTTAACTCATAAGATATTTAGGATATACAAAAATAAGAAATAAAGCTTTTCACAGAAAACAAACCGGTTAGGAATTAAATAATCATTTAGGATATATATATTCATTGTTTTTTATCGGAATGATTTTGTTCATATTTTTTTAAAAAAGTGAATTTTAAAAACACTTTGTATATAGAACAGTATGTTAGCTGTAAAATTAATGGTTTTCTTAGCATATTTTCTGAATGACGATGTGGATTTTGAAATTTTATGAAATGGTTAAAGTAGAAGCTGGTTTTTCGTTCCGACAGAATTTGGATGAACCTGGTTTTAATTTTGTTAATTCATAAAATCTGATATAATGCATTGAAACTAGACATTGTGGGTTACCGGCTACTCAGTTTATTATTAAATGACTTACAGTTCACTGAAGAAACAATCTCAGATTTCTAAAGCGTAGCAATAAAATCTTTATTATTTTCGCTAAACACCACAAATACATGAAAATCTTTTTAAAATTTACTTTCATTTGAACCCCATAGTTTAAACCAAAGCCTTTTTTGTAAATAAATTATCTTTTTGCTCGCTATATGTATGGTTCATATTTTTTACATCTAATGTTTAGAATATTTAACCATGCCCGCAAATAAACTTTGTTATGGATGTCAATCGAATACAAAGTACTTGTAGCACAGCGACGTCTCCTGACATTCAAAACTCACAGTATTTAGACTGCCAAAATTAAATAAAGACAACACGTTGAAAGCTTTGCAAGAGATTTTAATCAAATGAAAAAGCTTTCTTCTCATTGAACATGTGGATATAACGAAACAATGTTTGTGTTTTATTCAATTGTTTAGAGAAAAAAACTGCAATATTTTTTTCATTTTCTTGTATTACCTACAAATTACTGTAGACGAAGTTTAATGTGAATGCAGAAAGGTTTTATCTAAAATTACAAAAACATGTTACGTCATCCAGATAACTAGTGGGAACAAGCAATTTCCTAACTACAGAATATTTTGAAGTGCCAAATTTTTTTTAATTCGTCGAGTAATCCTGTATTTTTGTAACAACGATTATCATATACCGTTTTTTTTAGAAAATGCAGCAAAACAGAGTAATTCATGTTATTTGCTCTCCGATAAAATATATGAATTTTATTTTCGATACTAAAGTACCAAACATGGACTTATTCTTAGAATGTTTTTTGCAATCTAAAGAAAAGTGTATATTGAGAAATAAAAATGAATGTCTCATATTACACGAAATCTGATATTCAATTAATCATGTTTTATTATGAAAACAAACGAATTATACAAAAGAGTTCCATTTGATTTTAAGAGTTCACCTGGAATCCAATAACTCTGATAGTTAAGGATGTTTATTGAACTGAAATCTATATTATAGGGTCTTAATACTTTGAAAAAAAGTGAAATGTTTAGTAAAATATTGTACAAAATTTTCAAATATATGAAAAATTCATTAAATTATATGTTATCTCATAAAATATAAACTTAACACTTTTCAAAGTTCGAATATCACTGAATTCCATGAAAAACCTTCACAAATGTTTGAAAACAATCTGGATCTATCTTATTGATTTAACAATATATTCCTGTCGAAATAACCAAAATAACTCTCTGCTGTGGCTAAGCCATTAATTTTTCCATAAATATTTTTTAAAATTAAAAACCGAACTTAATTCAGCAGAAATAGGTGAGAATAATTGAGCTGTATTACGAGCTGAAATTTATAACAGTTTTTTGATGTCTTTTTTATGTAGTTGCGTTAATTCTCCCCTTATTGTCTTAGTTTATTAGCGATTGTTGGTTCACAGTTTTTAAGAAAACTAGATAAATATGTGTGTTAATATATTCTGTTCCTGTTCTGTCCCTGATAAGTAAGTTTCACTAACGAATTTAGTGAAATAACTTACTTAGATAGATTTATCAATATTTATTTAGATAAATGCCTGTATTATATTTATTTAAATATTCAGTACAGATTCAAGGTATCTCGTGTTCAGAACTGTATCATAAATGAGTAGAACAAGATTTTATATATTATTGACTACAAGTAATCTGATAGGTAGTGGTTAAAACACAAAATTCTATGATACTCTGTAACACAATTTCACTTTTCATGATGTTCAGAAAGGTAAGAACAACTTTAGTAACAGTTTGATGTAGAAAACACTTTTTTACGAAAACAATAAAGGCTTGTTGGTATTCTCCATTATCTCTAACGAACCTGAGGTACATCTGTGATGAGATAATAACCATGCAATGCTGAGGCATCCTGTGACATTATAAAACAGCCACCATATGGTCAATATTTTTTAATGATGGCCTTAATTAAAGCACGGAATAATTATATTAGGTGTTTCAGATTTTATCACATTTACTGATGTATGTTTTCAATGTTTTCAGCTAGGTAAAAGCTATTCACTAGTTATTCTGTAGATGTGATAAAACTATCGAATAAGACTGTTTTATAATAAGCTTTCATCATAAAAGTCACTAATGATTAACATATTCAGTGTCATCTGGTCAAAACAATTACGAATAGTGTACTTAGTATCGGTCCTATGATATTTTCTCTGAGTCCTGAATGTGCCAACATTAGTTTTAATAATATAGATTAACATTTTGCACTAAAATTACTGATATGCATGTATCTCATCAACATTCCTCTGTCTGATTTTGTTAAACCATTATTTATGTACTTATATATCTTATTCAATATGCTATCTCAAACCGTCTACAATGTTGTTTATTTATCGAACTGAATTTTCATATTTTGCGTTATGCTAAAGCTACACAAGATACATGTCTTCACCCGCTTAGATGTTAATACGGGTTCGTTAATATTCGTGGTGAGCTTGGCAAGTAATTGCATCAACACAAAATATTACGTCTTATCAGCTAAATCACAGGTTAATAGAAATAAGAATTTCTGTTTAGTCAAAGGAGTTTTACCATTTATTGTTTAAATAAAGCATTCTACATTATAGTGAGCTGGAGCTTAGCTTAGTTATTGTACATTCTAGTTGATAAATTGTTTCAAAAAATTAACCAAGTGTCAAGCATTTCAATCTCTGAACTTGAACATAAAGCTAATTTTTTAAATTTAATTTTCTCATGCATCATCAGTTTCAAATTTAACAATTGGATTCGTATGCTGGTTAATAACTACATAATAATTCCTTGTGAAACGTATATGGCTGATCCATATATGCACACATAAATATATTTATCTTATGAATTTGGGGATACAGTGTTTCATATAATATTCCACTTCTCAAATGTCAAACTCTTACGTTTATGCATTATTGATAAACGTTTCCCATGAAACATGCAAATTACAAACTTGTTAATTAACAAAAGCTATAAAATAAATTAAAATAAGTATTTTCATTAATTTTGTTCTGACAGCTTTTTCTTTTAATACGTTGAGTAGTAATTCATTAGTTAAAGTAACTAAACTTTCAGCCACTTAATCACGAGCTCTGCTTCTATTTCTTTTACTTCATATTATTCAGCTTTTTAGATTCAGTATTACTTAAGTTTAAGCATTGGTTCAGATGTAAGTGTATGAACCAGTACATAATTGCTTAGTTATTTTCAACACCAAATCTCTTTACAAAATGACTTTTTTTAATAGTTCGTACACTTCTCTTAATCATACACAAAATCGTGTGAACTAGATTTATAAATTTACAACCGGTTGGTCACTCTCCTAGTCGTTGCTTTGAATACTCTATTAATCCTTATTGTAATTGTAAATAAATTCAAAAAAATTTTAGAATATATTGATTGACCTTTAAAAATTTACGATGGTTATCAACATTCACATTAAGAATTAAAAGCACATATCAATCATTCTTATCATTAAAACGTACTTATTATTCATTCTTATTTTACTTTCAGTATAAATTTCCTTCTCACTTCAGTTCAGATTTGAAAGATCTTTTGCGTAATTTGATTCAATCTGATTTAACACGACGATTTGGTAATTTGAGAAACGGTGTTCAAGATATTAAATCTCATAAATGGTTTTCACATTTGGACTGGTTAATGATTTTCAAAAAAGAGGTAAACATTTTATGCTTTGTTGTTATGATTGCTGTTTTGTTGTAAATTATGTTACTTGCAACTACTTTTGAAAAATGAAAAGAAAAAATGACTTCATGTCTACTTGTTGTTTATGGTAGGACTAACTACTATAACTTTAGTTTTTATATGAGCACTATTCTAAACGTTCCAACATTGAATGAGCTATGACAGAAGTATTATAAGTTACTCAAAAACTAGTGTTTATTTATGCTTTTGTTCGCGTTTGTAGCTGTTCTACTAACAGATTAATATTTACTTGTTCGAATTTAAGTATCATCTAATTTTGGTATTCACAAAAATATTTGAAAACAAAAAACCATGATAAATCGGGTAAAATTATTTTTATTTGACGCTAACCTTGTTAAATCTTAATTACATTCACTAACTTATAATAACAAAGTTTGAGTTACTTTTAACTATAACAATCATAATCACATTTTCTTCATCTGAAAATGATAAAATTCAATACAAATAATAATTAGCTTTGTAATAAATATTTAATAAAAAGCCGTAATTGTTAGATTGAGGAGTTATGTAAGATAGTTCAGAAGCAGCACCAACCAGGTAGACGTATTCAGTTTTTATTTTTTCCTATATCCCGAGTTTGAAAACCATTTGATACTTTTTATTTTTTCCTAATTTATTCCTAATCATTTCTAATATTATCGATACTACAACCATTTAGTCCATCATCCTGATAATTTCAAATCGATGGATTTATAAAAACACAACAACTTCGGGCAATGCACCACTGTACCATTTTTACGTTGCTAACGACTAACTAAATTACGATACAAAACATTACAAAATTGATATAGCAACCATTCATTTGTTGTCAATTATTTCTTAAATAATTAAGTAATGAATTTCTAACTACTATTAGGAAACATCGGAACCAGAAATTATTTTTGCATGTTAACCTGGCGACGATCAATGTTAACAAATAATTAATGAACGACAATAGCTGTATTAGAAGCATAAGCTGTACAATCTCGTGAGCACATCATGCAATAGTTATGGCGCTTGTTGAATTATGAGTATTATACAATATTATACAACAAATTTCAAAGCTATCACCTTTACAAATACGTTCTGACATCCTGAACATCTTGAACTGGCATCCACTGGTGAAGGTATTAGTTAGTAATTTACCTCAGCATTTCAATCACTCACACAGCATAAGTTTTGTAAACACATTCATAAAAGACCTTTAACCTACAGAAACCATTTTAACAGGTGTTAAGGATGTGCAGTGGTGAAAATTTGCCTTGGAAACAATGCTTTCTCCGATAAATAAACGAGCAACGTTTAAAAAGAACTTTACTATTTATAGTGTATCTGTGGTACTTCATATTTAAATGGTTTGTCTTAGTCTACGTTCTATATAATAGTATTATATTCTCCAGTGGTTCTATCTGTTATCATACTCTCGACCATAATCTGTCTATAAATTATAACAAACTGTACCAAATATACCTAAGATAAAGTATAGCAGTCCCTTTACTACTGAAAACCACCTACTATCGAAATTTAATGTAGAATTATACGGAAACATTTGGTTGATATGATCACCAAAATCGGATCACAACTTGATATCCTTGTCAAGATTTAAGACACACGTAGAAAAGATCAAATCGACGTAAACTTCAAACACTCTTTTCAGTAATCAATACTTTCTTTGTTTTTATAACTAAAACAAGTATAAAATTAATTATCAAAATATATCAAAAGATTTAGATTGAAAACTAAGATCTTAACAATACTTTCTCTCGGTGATGCTGGTCTGTGAATTGAAATGTTGTGACAAACCATTGATTTTCTTCATATCTCGATGGCAAAAACGTCATTTATTAATCTAACTCTAAATAACCATAGTGATAGTGATTTCTTAGAGTATTCATGAATTATCAGAAAAAAGCTATTTTCATCGACAAAAAGTTAATCACCTCATTGATTACATTGAATTCTTATTTGAGCCATCTTAAATCTGTAAAATTACTATCCACATATTTCAGTGAACAAGTTAAAATACATTAGTTCATTTTACTGACTATTTTATGGACTCGTTGTTCAATTAATTTTGTAATGTATGTTTTTAACTTGAGTACAGCTTCATCCTTGACGAAGATCTTTGTGTCTGTGTTTTTAAAATTATTAGTAATTTTTTTCTTTCTACGGATTATTTAAAACACTCAGTGAACTGTGCAAATAAATAAATTCGTAAATATGATTGTCATTCAGTGAACAAAACTTAAAGATGGTCAGTAATAAGTGCTATTTAAAAATTTTTTGTAGTGGTATCTAACATAAAAGCTTGATAAATTATAAATTGTTATTAATCATATAGTTTATTCAATACTCATGTGGGATAACTTTTTAATTATCAGAATATCATTCACGATATACATTCAACATGTTATTCTGTCAATATCAAGTGGATGGTTATGGAATGTTACTCACAGGGTTGTTCTGCTTAACATTTTAATATTTAGTTGCCTTTAAGACCAGTTGCGATAATCATCTTCACAACTCCTCAGTCATTACATACTTAATTCGATCAAATGTTATGACTGAACTTATCATTATCAAATTGTTTCTGTGGTTAATATTACTGCTGCGCAGTACTCCCATTAAGATCCTTCCGGCCATGCATCTGTGAGACATGTATTCATGCAGAGTCTCTACCTATCAAAGAGTGAGTATCCATTATCTAAATGACATATATACCCATCAGCAGTATTATCAATGACACGTGATCGTACACACGTTTGCAAACAGCCTCCAAAACTTCGAAAAAAATTAAATGAGGAGAATACTTTTATAAATGGTTTACTTACATAGATACATAAATTAACATTTTTACGTAAAATAAGATGATGAAGTAAAACATCGGTAGACAGTTGATCAAATTAACTTAGTTGTCAATAAACGTAAAATTTTAAAGATCATGTTTCTTTATTCATTTACATTACTTTAAGAAATCATTTGAATTATTACAACATTAAAACGTGAACGATATATGTGCGCTTTGTTTAAACAAAAGAAAATAAATAGTACTTATCTAGTTCAGAAGGGCCATTCTTACATTTTTAATCGTGTGACGATGACAGGTACATGACGTACGTCCAAAATGTTGTGCAATTTTTAGTTAAACACTAGAGCATTTTTATCTCTGTATGATATATTGCTTAGTACAGTACTTTTTAATTTCTTATTTATTCTTAAAGTGAATATAATTTCGGCTATTTTATAAACAGGTACAAACTTATTAATCAGTACGAATAGTAAATCATCTTTTTTAAGTAATCTGAAACTATTTGAAGTCACATGGTGTTTTCATTTCATTTTCAACCATTCATACATCTACTATTTTTGACCTTATCTCCTTCGAAGTAAATCAACTTTAAAGTGAAGATAATATGAATGGTTAGTTTGTTATTTTTCATATCTACACATTGTATTTCAATGATTTAAATATTTATGGACAATAACTTAAAGAGTAATATTCCAATCAATCTTGGTAAATATAAGTAATTAGCTCTTCTAGAGTACTTTAGTTTTACAAATAAACATTTTTGCATGATAAATTTACTTAAATATTAATTTATTCATCCTCCATATTCTTATTTTTTGGTAAAATCTCTTTTTCTTCATTCAGCAATTAAACTTTACGATAAAAATAAATTATCCACATTAATAGTTAATCCGTTTTTTAAATGTTAAAACGATAAATATTGAAACAGATCCCTTAACAATTTAAAACAAGTAAGTCTGGGATTTTAAGAATTATAATAATTTTATCAACTTACTAACTGAAGTGTTTATTCAAATCTTTAGGATTCATTCACTTAAATAAAGCTTCAGTTGAATGACTTTAACTTCCGTAAATGTCTCATATATCTGGAAGTAACTTTATATATGTCACTGCAAGATACTGCATACTCCAATTATATCGTTTCCAGATTGAACGTTCATAAATCAGTTCTATGAAGACCCAGTGTTTATAAAATACTTTTTTTAAATTAGAGTACGTTGTAAAACTCACTTCCTGAAGTTATTGAGTTCATCAGTAGCAATTGCAATAGTATTTCCATTAATCGTAGGAAACGCCGTTAAGTTTTTTTATCACTGAATCTTTAAGTTAGTTTCAAACAGTTTTATGATCTGCTACAAATTATGAAGATGAAAAAACTCAAGCAAAACATAGTTCTTAGTTCACTCATCTTATATTAGACTGGGTCTTTTTTGGGATACATTGTTTTCATTATTTATTTACCGAAACGTTGCAAATGTCCAGGAATCAGCATTTCAATGTCCTCGCATTTTATGATGAAGTTTCATTACTTTTGCAATTAGTTCTTTAGTCTTATTGAGAAGCATAACAAAAACGAAATTAGATTTCACTTAAACGGTTAACTTAGTGAATCAGTACATCGTTATTGCAAGCGAAAAGTCTAACAATCAACGATGTTGATACGAAAGACTAGAGTATTTAATAACAAAATTTGTCAATCAAGCATGTTTGAATAAATGATTCATTAGAAGCATTCTAAAGTAGACTAATTCGTTTCTTGCCGGTCAAATAACGTCATAAAACATAGACCGTCTAGTAATACACTTGATGAAAACTCGGTGCAATTCTAATTCAAAATAATCTTACAGAACGTTGTTTTATGTTCACAGACTCTGAAAAATATTTTTACCCGATTACAATAAAATAAATCCAATTTAATAATATCGTTATCGTATTCTATAGTTATCTTAAAGCAATGTTTAAATAATGGAAATTGATTCGTATTTGGGTAAACTACTCAAATAATATTATTCAGCCTAGTTGT